GTCCACTATTGTTTGGTGAGTAATTGCAAGTTTGTGTCCTCAATGCAAACTATGGGCAACCGTGGGAATCTGCTAGCAACCAAAGCAACTTTGTGACCAATTTCACCTGGCAACCACCAGCAACCACTCGTCAGCTGGTCAGTGAAGGCGCATTTTTCCCTAGCGACAGGAAGTTGCCAGAGAGTTACCAACCAGTCTTTAAGCATGCACGAATTAGGCGATTGGCTGAATATTTGATAGAAATTAAACCAACTTTTTTTTTGTTTTTTAATCTTCTGAAGTCGAGCATGACGGAAGAGGTTTGGGAACAAGACCAGAACAGTTAGCGTCGGAGTGGAGAAACATGGTATGAGCACTTGAAAACAACTCAAAGGCCTTCAAAAACAGCACCTGCTACAAGTACAGGCTGTTTTTGTTTTTGTTTTTAAAGAAACACTTGTCATTCAAAATGATAGATTACAATCGATTATTAAACTCCAAATAAAACTGATTCAGTCAGATAAATTGTCAAGCACAGAAGTTGCAATTGCAAACGGACACAGAAACAAATGTAAGTTGCTACATGGAGTTTAACTGTTTCAGGTTGCTTTGCTGCCATTTGTGACCTCAGTGAAACGTAACATGATGCAGTTTGTGTGTCCCTGCTCAGCAGTTTGGTTGTTTATCACTGTCTTTGGGTAAAGTTTTGATCTTTCTCTTTGAACAAAGTCATCATAGTCTGAAGTTAGGCCCTTCGAAACTTGTTGATCATCAGTTTGTAGTTCCAAAAATACAACGGCATCAGTGCCTGTCATTCCTAAAAATCTTCTGAGATATGTTGCTTCTTCAGTAAGAAAATGCATCATTTCATTGCAGTGAAACAGCCTCAAAAAGCAGAATAACTTTGTGCTTCTCCTATATGCTAACAAACATCAAGCCTTTAGAAAGTATCAACACGCAACCATCAGCACAAATATGAACGCGCTCGGCTGGTTAGTTTGTTCCAGAGTTTCACATGTAACAGTCTCCGTGCTGTGCTGGTCCAAACATCAGGAATATCTAAAAAATATTCTGCTTTGCTCACAGCACCTTGAATCAGGCTGGATATACAGAAGAAAAAAGCTAAGTAGAATCATTCTGAAAGATTTTTTTCTGTGCGGATGGTTGAAAACACGACTTGTCTTGCGTACATTGAGCAACAAACACTTTCCCCCTCCAGCATTTCAACTTTGGAAGACAAGGATTCATATGTTTCGGTTAACACAGTGCATGCATAGCTCACTGTTGAAGCAAAAAGCTAGCATAAAATGTTCGCAGTGGCAAGTGGCAACAAAACACACGTTCTGTGATTAAGAGGGTGTAGTGAAACATTCAAAGAAAATCGATAAAACAATCAAATGATCACATTTACACATAGATTTCCGAAATCCTTCTGAATAACCAAAGAAAAAATAAAGTTTTCCCAAAACTTCCCAGCCATTAAAGATCACCGTTGCTCTGTTAGACACACAGTTCAACTAGGACCAGGTTCACACGCTGTTAAAAGCACCCAGTGAATAATGCCAAATTAAGGGTTCCTCACCACAGTCTTTCCTTAAGGGACAACAAATGTGTTTGATTCCTTCATATGCATATCAAGTTCTACAACTCTGCTAATAGTAGTAAAACATTGCATGATCAAAGTCTGGACAATCTTCCTTGTTGGGTCATCTCCTTCTTCCCATCTGAACCTCTTCCAGGGCAGCTGGTGTGACCTATTGCACTGTAAATTCTCCCTACCAAATCAGCTTTAATTCGTGTGTGGCACTATGTGGATAGACACTGTGCTGAAAAAGCAGATTTAGCTCCCTCCGATTTTTCCTTTTCCCCAAAACCAACTGTGAGGAACGCATGCGAGTGGTCAGACTGTCAGGGAGCAATCGACAAAGTAGACGACACTGAAATAAGGAGATTAGCCCCCCCAAAAAAATCAGGTATGGGTTTCAATTTTGGACTTTAGATATGATTTTTAGAATCTAAAGCATCTGTGTTTGCAAGCCCAGAGCCTGGACTTTCCTTAATTATGTTAAATTCATCAGCAACCTACTGCCACTAACTGTCAAACAAAACAGGAACCACTCCTCGCCTCTTTAACAATGTCTAACTTTCCTTTTTTAAAACTGAAGCACATGGTTAAAAACAGCGTTCCACGGGGATCTTTACTCAGCGCCCTGGTGTAAGTGAACAAAGATGAGCTTTAAACTTTGGGTGTTTTGGGAAACACAAATCTGAGTTAAAGGTTCAGGTGAAAACTATAGAAGTCAAATGTTGAATCATCAAATTATTCCACCACACAATTCTGAATATTTATCCTAAGCCACCAAATTCATGTAAATTTGTCTGAATGAATAACTGTGTGGATAGAGCTGGTCTGTGGGCAGTGATGGAGGACTGTGGATGTACTTAGAAATATCTTGTTGTGAATTAAAACTGACTTCTGCAGTTGTCACCCAAAAGACTTAAAACCATGCGGTACATTCTGCGGATGTAACAGACAGTATGTAGATCACAGATCACATAAAGGCATGTATGCTTAAAATCTGCTTTGATTAAACGTTTGCGTACAGTTTGAAAGAAAATCCGGATATGCAGATATGAGATATTCAGCCATCATTTCAAGCATTTGTATTCAGATGGATAAATGCTGAACGCATGTAATGTGTGATTTCAAGCTTCATTAATTTCAAGCTTTTGAGCTTAGCTTAGCTATTCACTGAAGGCCTCAACAGGAGAATCCAAAAAAACCATCGCATTTAAGCTTGACTGGAATTTTTGGACCACCTTTACAATAGATCAAGCATGAAACTGCATACAGTACTGAATGGACTCTTATAGGTCACTTGGCTTCAGGGGGCAAAAACAAACTTCTTCGAGCTGCTCTGAGAACTTGCGTGTTTTGCCCTTATTGTCTCCTGTACTTAGAAAAAAAAAAAAAAACACAAAAAGATTTGCACTCATTTTGCAGACGTTGCACGGTTCTCACAAATAAATGATTTGGTTAGAGTGTGTGTCACACTGGACAGCACACAAGTGGGAAGCTAAAGAACATCGAATATTGTCCTTTAGGTAATATCTGATCATTTTTTAAAACAGCTTTATATTGGCTGTAAAATATATATTTTTTCATGCTATTAAGAAAAAAAAGCCAATCTAATTTAGATTAAAACCTGGAGATTTCAGAACTATTTTTCTCATTTTGTACCAAAACACCTTGAAGGGCTCTCTGGCCCCATCTCCGATATCTGCCAACAGCTTGCACAGACTGTTACATCCTCTCTGGCCGTCTTGAATGAGGCTTTTGTTGCTGAGATTCATTCAGTCAGCAACATCGCTCCTTGTTTGCCTTAGTAGAGAAACTGGCTACAGCTGATCTTGGACCAGCTGAATCATTTTATGTTCCAGCTGTTGGTGGAACAGCAGTCAACTGGCCAGCACTATGTTGGTTTACTGTGTGAACATGCAGAGTGGCCACAGCTGAACTCTACAGGTTTTCTCCAAGCCAGATTTAGAAATAATGATTCCTGACTTTTGGATCAAGATTTTTCTTCTTTTTGGTGCATTGTGTGAGAACAGAACACCGTGTATTTAACGTTTGGCTTGCAGGTTCTTGTTTGTATGTCAAAGCTTACCATTTTCATTTGAGCTCTGCTTTTTTCAGTGTAGATTTTTCCTATTTTACCAGGAAACAGGAAATCCAGTCAGCCACTGGTAAATGAAAGGATGAGAAAAACAAAATTTACATATTGATTTTCTCCCCCACACTACAAACCAAAGATTATGATCAATGTTTCCCAAGATCTTGGCCAGCTTTTGCCATCCCCCCCGCCTGCCTTTATGGCTCAGACATGAGCTGTGTGAGAAATTATACCCACAACTGTTTTATTTTTTTTTCTTAAATTTGTCTGATTTCCATCCAACAGCAGAGCTTTTGTTTGCTCTTTGCTGCAAAGTGAATATGATGGAAAATGAGTCTCTTTAATAAATATAGATGTGGACATAAATGCCAAGTCTGCCTATTTATCTTGATAGAAAATGTGTCCTTCTGTCTTCATATTCAAAAAAAGTGACTATTAACTGAGTCTAGCCTGTTCCTGGAGTGTTTCGATCTTCTTCCATGAAGTTTTGCCATGAGTTATGGTTACGTTTCAACAGACGCCTGAGGAAGAGGAGCAGATGAAACATGAACATTGCCGCAGTGCTCTAATGATCACTCCGTCTTCCGCAGTGAATCGTCTCTCTGAATCACTCCCTCGTTTCTCACACTGCTTTACCTCATCCTCTTCTTCTTTTATCCTCTCTATTGATTCTGCATCTTTGATTTCCCCGCATACTTTATCGCACTTCCACTGTAATCAATACAGCTGGCACACAGGAGTTTACGTAATCATCTTCCTAAAACTGCTGCTGGTTGAGGAGTAAGTTATGACTTGGATCATTTACAGCAAAACACAATATAAAAGTCGAGTGGCAGACCAGAGCTTCCCATCAGATTTGTTTTGTCCTTCTTAAAAAAAAGTAAAAATGAAGCTTTAATCTCTTGTGCTCGTTAACACAGGTGGTAATTTCAGTCGTCTTCATGGTGGCTTTGCCCAAACAAACAAACAAAACAGTCATCATTACTTCCACCTGTGATAAAACATAATTCCCCTGGTGTTCTGAGAACTGCTGAGACACCAAAACAACCCACAAGTGAATATTTCACCAGTTGTGTTTGATGCAACGACACCCGAACATCTCTTTGTTCCAGCACGACGATGTCATTTTAACCACTGACGAATACTTTCAGTTATTTATATTGACAACTTCCCATTTCACCTCCTGGTGAATACATATGATAACCTAACAATAAATTTGAGCTGATTTTGCTCGAGTGCTTGTCTCTAAGAGAGGGTGACTATTTCAACCAAAAAAAGAATACTGGTTTAAAATACCAACAGAATGATAAAAGCCACCCTCTTGGCCTGTGAATGATGATGATGAGACTATTTTAAGGGATTTATTGCTACAGAAATGAGTAAACACTGTATGAAATATCAGGACCAGGCCAACCACTATCACGGTCTTCCATTTAAACCATTCTCTTGTTTTAAATAACACCATCCACCTCGTCTGTGTAAAAAATGTGGCTCGGGTTTTGGCGACTCTCTTGCTGGGTTGGGTAGAGACTCTTGGATCAGGGTGGCTGAGGAGCCTGGACGGATATGGAGAAGCTGAGGGAGTCTCATAGGTGAAGGAGGGGATCAGATGCGGATCTGGTAGCCGTCATTGAGCATGCTGAGTTCTGGAGGTTTCCTCTCCACTGAGGCCAGCCTGAAAGATAAGACATAAAGTTGCTGAACATGCACTGCATACTAAGAGCACAGTGGCAGAAGAAACTGGAGAAGCTCTTTCATTCTGACAAGCTCCTTAATGTTGTGCAGTAGAGCTAAACGAGAGCAAGTCTCCAAACTATCTCCCAAAACTCTCCCCAGCATGGCTGCAGTCGCTCATTATTTTCTTACTGTTGATTAATCTGCAACTTTTTTCTCATCTCACTCAAAAATAACACAATAATCACTGTATATTAAGAGTTCAGTTGGTTGTTTCGTGGTTAAATGCAGTGAGCTCATTTTTACATGGACCATCTAAACCAGCAGATATAAATTGAAATCACCTGAATTTTGAGTGTTTTGCTTAGAAACTGACCAAAAAAATCAAAAAGTGGCTAGAAATACAAGACTGCCTGACACAAATAAAAATCATGTTTTAGTTGCTTAAAATCAGGGGCACAGATGCTTTGATTGGCAGGTGGACACTAAAGGGTCGTCCACATGGGAGGTAACCAACAGTAGTAACCAGAGATGGCAGGAAGTCGATTCGGATCCTGAATAAAATTTTTCTCAACCTGGAGGCGAGTGACTAAAGCGATTCTAAATATGCAAACAGTGTTGTTGTGATTTGGCGCTGTATAACTTAAAGTGAATTTTGGAACTGCAGGTGCTGACAGCACATAAAGACCCTGATATTGTAATCACAAACAAATGTGTAACATAACATTATACGCAGTCTAGTTGTTCCCTAGTTCACTGTACAAAGAAAGAGAAAAGGCTTCGAATAAAACGAGAGGAACTAGAGATGGACCGATCCAATATTACGTATCGGTATCGGTCCGGTACTGACGTAAATTACTGGATCGGATATTGGAGAGAAATAAAAAATTTAATCCGATCCATTAAATATCAAAAAAGCACCTCACAAAACTTGTGACACAGCATAACTCAGCTCATAACCTAGCATGTCGGAGCAGTGTGCGTCATGTGATAGAGCAGCTGTGTGTATTTGTAGCCTTGCTAGCAATCCCGCATTTCATCTCCGAGGAAGTTATCCCAGAGAGAAGGAAAGCAAGTGTGTAAGTTCATCTCTGAATGTTTGTAAAGCATTCTCACGTTAAGCTTAACAACCGATATATGGAGCGACTGCCTCTTCTCTCTCCCTCCCTCTCCTACTGCTACTTCAATCATGAAACTGATCAATGATCAGCTGATCGGCTTTTCTGTCTTGAGTCCGTCTCTCTTGTTTCTCTCTTCACTTCGCGCCAGAAAGAGGAAACCAGCGGCTGAACAACAGCAGCAGGTTTAAGCTTGATAATCTGTTGTTAGAATTTATTTAACATTACTTTCTACACCAGGATCTTTTTCTACGTAGCTGACGGCTGGTAACTGTGCAGGGGCGGATCTAGCAAAGTTTAGCCAGGGGGGCTAATAAGGCATTAACAGGGAAAAGGGGGCATAAAGACATACTTTCCTTTCTTATTCTCATTTAAAAGGTCTAGCTTTTAATAAATAATTAACCGAATCTTACACCCAAAGTTTTAATCTGATGTAAAATGTATAGAAGTCCATTACTGTATATACCGGTAGTAACGGTTAAGTCTAATATACCCTAGTAAACTATAGTACTTTTTCCTTTGGGAAGGTACCATCTGTGCAGTCTGCAATTCTGTTGAAGAAAGATGTTGAATCTATTTAATTATTTTTCAAAATTAATTGATTTCTGTGCATTTTGTTTCCACACTGCATCAAATTAAAGTTGATTACGTCGATTAAGCATCATGAGGTGGGGGGTGGGGGTGGGGGTCCCCTATGTTTTTACTGGGAGTTTTAGAACCCTATTAGTTAGGTTGCTTACTCTTTTAAATACCAGAATAGGAAGGATGGAGTAAGTTTAACTTTATTAGATTGACCAGTATTGCTGAACTATGAGATATTTTGGGTGCAGTGTATTTTTTGCATACAGGTATAAAAGAATAGCTTTAGTGTTTTGTTTTTTAACTTGAGTATGAACTTATACAAAAAGCAGCAAGATATTAAAAAATAAGTTTTATTGATTAAAAACACTATATCGGATTCATATCGGTATCGGCAGATATCCAAATTTATGATATCGGTATCGGAAATAAAAAAGTGGTATCGTGCCATCTCTAAGAGGAACACAAATATATCACTGTCAGAATGCAAGCTTAAAAACAGGCAAATTCACCACAATAATAATAATAATAAATAAAACAAACAGTGACTTTACTCCAACCTTCTTCAGCGCAACTCAGAAGGAAAGAAACAAGTGTGAAGACAGCAGAAAATCAAAAAGGCCTTCTTATTTCTAAAAGCCCAAAAGTGTTCGATTTAATCCTCCTTCAGTGCTTTCCGTCTCTCCTTTTCTCCCTGCCCTCTCCTCTAATGTCACATTGTCCTCCCTCGCCTCTCATCTTTATTATTTCTTCTCAGAAGGAAGCTTTCAAGCTCTGTGACACATCACAGAGAAGTGTTCCTTGTTACAACCAGTCTGGAGAGCTGACAGGCTTTTTATTCCTTCTCATCTTTTGCCAGACCTTCACCTCTTTTCTCGTTCACTCTCCTCTCTCACCCTCCTAACCCTCCCCTTTTTCCACTTACTCAGTTTCTTCTCCCCCTTCTCGCCATCTTTTTCCATCTCTTTTGCCCTCTAACACATAATTATTCTTTTTTCCTTCATCCCTTCTCTTTGCTTTCTATCCTTCTATCTTGAACGTCCCTGTGTAGAGAGCCGCTTATGTAACAATAATATTACAGAAATTCATTTTGAAAATTGAGTCATTTGTATAAAGCGGGCAGTGCTGATAACAGCCTCCTGAAACGTCTCGCTCGAGCTGTAAAATGAGCCGGCGCTGTTGTGTCCGCACTCTCAGCTGTTTGAAGCAGCAGCAGGTTATTACACCATTTCTGCTGGAGTCGTCGCTCTAAGGTGGCAACATATTGTTAAGGGTGTAAGTGCTCCGTTGATAACAGTAATAGCTTTTTAAGTATCGCATTCAAGTGGCTAAAAGTGGTGATGTGCTGTTCTAAACATTTTAACTGCTTCTCTGAGCTGATGAAACTACGGCGCTTACAGAAAGTGAAAATTAAACCATGGCTAAATGAACTCTGAAGGTAACAGAAATAGATTTATGCAAATGAGGAAACCATTTCACACTTTCACAACTCATTTAATTAAAAAAAAAAAAGTCTTGCTTTTATCTAACTAACATGCTCACTGCAGACCATTAAGATATGTTCCTTGATTCTGCACATAGCTGTGCAATTACACTTTATGGTATCAGTTCAACTGAAGCCCCAGTTATAAGGCAGAGGATAAAGTTTTAGTGTTTGGATTAAGGGTGCCTCAAAAGCACAAACATACATTGATAGAAAGACTCTTTGTTACTGCAGAGGTTTGAGTTAGTTAGCTCACTAGATTTGTTCATCATCTTTTGAGAAACTCTCTTTTTGTCTGTGTCAACTGTTGTAAAACCACAACAAAAGAGAAAGACTTTGAATAGCAAAATGTTCCAAATGCAAATCAACAGCAGAGTCACCAACAATAAAAGGTGGCATGCACCTCATGTCAGCTAGACTTCTACTGCAAGGTATAAAAGATCTGTGGGCATGAGAAGTCTAAAGGGAGTCTAAAAGTCTTACGTCAGTTGGTCAGCTGTTGGGGGATTCCATCCATCCAGCCACTCATTTTCTTCTACTGAACCAATTCTCAATCACACCTATAGCCAATTTAGTTAACCTAACCCCATAAATACGTATATTCAAATGGCAGGAGGAAGCCACGCAGAAACAGGGAGAACCTGCAAACTCGGACCAAAACCCAGACTGGATTCTTACGTTTAATTTTCTGAGGTTTACAAAAAAACTCAGCAGCTGTGCTGGTGATCTCAGGGACAACCAGAGTCATCAACAAAGCCTGGCATCTTCAGCTCTGAATACTTTTGTAGAAGCTGTATGCCGCAGCCCTTTTTAATTTTCATATAAACTTGCATTCAAAGCTAATAAAGATTAAAGTGGATATACTAAACAAAAACATACGAATGCAGCTGAAAGCCTGTGAAAGCTTAGCTCAGTGTGATAATATGTGTGGTTTAATAGCTCAATTACGTCAAGAATTTTAGGATCATCATCTCAAACGATGCGGAGATGATGATCTAATGTTAGATGACTGACAGTGATTTAATTGAAAAGCCAAGTGCATTTCCCTAACCACCAACATACACATGCAGATCCCCAAATAATTACTCTCTTAAGCGCAGCAGAGCTTAATATATGAAAGGTCAACAGAGAGTCAGCCAAATGGCAACACTAGCAACGTCAGTAATTCGTGTGCCGAGTCTGTGTGTGTTTGTGGTGACTCTGCAGTACGGCCGCGCTTCAGCTGTCGTCCGAGTCAGATTGTGTTACATCCCACCGCACAGCTGACGGCACATGCAAACACACTCAGCATCGTCATACGTGTGTGTGTGTGTGTGTCAGAAGGCTACAGTGTTAAACTTTAAATACTTCAAACAATATCTTGGATTCTTTAATATGTTGGCATAGAGGCGAACAAGGACGCTCTGATTTTACAGACTTTATATGGAGTTTGTTTTTAAGCCTGTGTTTGACAAGCAGCATTAGAGACCTTATATTCTGCTGAGTGCTGGTGATATGGACACACACACACGCACACATATATCATAGTGATAACACTGTCAGCTGAACACAACAAGGAGTGTCTGTCTGATGATAATGCTGAGCTGTCGGCGACAAAAGCAGATAAGCAGACCCACACACTCATACACAAAGTCCTCAGTGCCACCCAGCAGATACACAGTTGTTGCCACTAAGATGTCAGAACAATTTATTCTTTAAAGGCGCACACACTAATTGAAGTCTAAACTTTCCTTGACCTGAAGAGCAGACCTTTAGAGAAAGAAGACAAGGGGGAGGAAGATGGAAGTACCACACAAAAGCTGACAGACACCAGCTGCCAGCACTGCTGATTAACCCTGCTCTAAGTGTGGAAGCCTTCTGTATTTTAAGGATGTCATCAGCTGCTTAACCAGTGGAAACTGTCGGGGAAAGAGGATATGAGGCAACGAGCGCCCTGAGCAACAAACTGTTAAGCGATGGGAAGAACTTACGATTTGTCTCTGTGGTGCATGGAGCGTCGCTGGGGGCTGCTCTGTCGACGCCGTGGCGATAAGGACTTCCCTCGGCTTCGCTCTTTGATCGGTGACTGGGCACTGGATGATTTTAGGATCTTAAAAAAACAGAAGAATCAACATCACTAATTGTAGTTTATTAAAGTTTTAAAATGTATTAACACTCTGCAGACCAGCACGTTTTCATTCTTTTCTAGCTTATCAGTGTACTATCATCCAACCATTTTAAGCCGCACCAGCAGCAATATGCACCAAAAAAGCTCTGATAACAAAACTGTACACTTTTACCACCAAATATCAGAAAAAGTTTAGATAATTGATGATGGAAGTTGAATATCCAGTGACACTCGGGTCCAGTCGGAGTGTATTATGAGGTAAAGGTGATCACTAAGAAACCCTGGAGAACATCTCGGTGAATAATCATTAATGTTTCCCATTCAGAAATGAAGAATATTTGAATAAAATATATGCTGCTGTGTATCTGACAGAGGCTAGTCAGTGTTTGGACACAATGTTAGCATTGATCCAACAGAAAGAAAGAACTTCAGACTTAAAAGCTGCACTTTAAGTCATATTGCCTTTTCACCAGGTGGACAAAAATCATTGTCACCTATTTCAAGGTTAATCTTTTAATTATTATGAACTGTGATAAAAGTGCAGACAATACTGGAAAAGTTTAGAATGATGGCATTAAAAAAAAAGCAGTGAGTGAGAAGAGTTTGGCAAAACATATGGCTGTTTACACCCTGCTTTCATATTTACAAAGAATCCCTAAACTTCTAACATTTCAGTGTACAGCGGTTATGTTAGCATGAAGACAACAGCTGCTGCTGCTAATCAACTGGAGGGAAGAAAGCGTCACCGTGATGAATGGAACAGCAGACAAATGTATGTGATAATGTGTTTTTCTCTATTTTAATCTTTCTCACTGATGTGACAGATGACTCATGCAGACAATACAGTTCAGAGCGACAAATGAGGCATTCTTAGTGTATTAAGCAGCAACTTGAAGCTACCATTAAGCTCTCAGCAGGAGAAAAAAAGAAAAGGATGACTCCGGATGGCAAGTTTTCCTGAATGCAGTAAAGGAAGTTGCTAATATCCTGCAGCTGGTTGTGTTCGTCATGTGTTTGTGGTACAAACATGGATCGTATTTCTTTGTTTTTTGTAAGCAAAACTATTTTATTCCTTTTCTTTTTTCCCCCTTTTTAAATGTCTGATCCAATAGCTAAATTACATCTACTACACTGCTGAGTACCATTAAAACACCCGATTAAAGTGACTATTTGTTACGACTGTGCTTAATTATATAGCAGCTTTTCAGCTTCACGTTTTCACTGTCATTTGGACAGAATTCCTATTTATCTCATGTCCGGCTCTTTATGTAACCTTGGGGTTCATGCTCTGTCTACAACAAAGGTTCTTATGAAGACAGAAATACAATCTGTGTAAAATGGAAATGGAAATAGAATGCAATGATCTTCAAATCATATATTGTACTAGAAATAAAACACAGGAAACATATCAAATGTTTGACAGAGAAACTGCAAGAAAAATATATAGAAAAATAGTTGCCATCAATATTGAATTTGATGGCAGCACAAAAAACTCAAAAATGCTGGTACAGCAGCGCAAAAAGGCTAGAAAAATATGCAGTACTAAAAACAAACAGCTTGAGGAACATTTCGCAACTAATTAAGGTTAATTGGCAACAGTTCAGTTATATGATTGGGTAGAAATAGAGCATCTTAGAGAGGCAGACTTATCATTCTGCAAAAAAAACTGACACAAATTATGGGGTGATTTCAGAATAATCTTCTTCAATATAAAACTGTACAGATTTTAAATATCTCACCATCTATAGTACATCAAATATCATCAAAAGTCTCAGAAAATCTGGAGAAATCTTTGTACACGAGAGACAAAGTCTAAGCTCTTCAGGCTCAAAGGCAGCACCTCATTAAAAAGGGAAAGATTCTGTCATAGAAATCCTAGCAAGGAGTCAGGAAGACTTTTCAGACATCACTGTACGTGAACACAGCTCACTGTGCCAACCACAAATAGAGGTTAAAGCTCCATCACCCAAAGAAGAAGCCATATATGATCATGATCGTCAAACATCTGTGTCTTTTCTGGGCCAAAGCTTAAAATGGGCTGAGGCCAAGTGGAACTCTTGAAACTTTAAATTCTTTTCAGAAATCATGGACCCTGCATCCTTTGGACTAGAAGAGTAGATAAACCATCCAGCTTTTTTTTATCAGCACCCATAAAAAAAGTTTTTTAAAAAAGTAAAAAACTCATCTGCATTAGCATTCATGGAATTCGCAATTTGTCAGCAATGTTCAGATCATGGTATTTTTAGGTCTTGCATATTTTAGCAAGACAATGCTAATCTGCATACTGTGTGTATTTAAAAGCATGGCTTCATAGTAGAAGAGTCATAGTGTGTGAAATGCCCTGCCTGCAGTCCAGTCCTTTCACCATCTGAAAACATGTGGTGCATTATGAAATGAAAAATTCAACAAAGATGATCCAGGACTGCTGAGCTACTAGAATACTAATACAAGAGTGGGAGAACGTTCCAAACGTCTAAAAAAGCTCCTCTCACTTCCCAGATGTTTACAGACTATTGTTAAAAGATGAAAGGGTGCTACACAGCGGTAAACATAGTCCCACTCCAACATTTAAAACATGTTGCTGCCATTAAATTCAAAAAGAGCTAAAATCTTTCTTAAAATGCTGCATTTTCTCAGTTTAAACATTTGGTTTGTTTTCTATGCTCTACTGTGAATAAAATATAGGTTTATGAGATTTGCGGATCATTCCATTTTGTATCTATTGACATTTTTATGCAGTATTACAGCTATTTTATTTTGTACATGGGCACAGACACAAACGCACTCTATAATAACTTCACATCCTCTGGAGCACAGCAGATTATACCAAAGTCTCACAAACCCCAATGCACTTGACCTGTGCCTGCCTGTGATTCTATGTGCGTGCGAGACAGCTGCAACCTTACTGACCTACATAACTTGCTGACATACAGTACATGTTATATAATGTATCACTGTCTAACATCAGCGTCTATCACACAGCTACTCACACATTGCTTTCATGGAACTGCAAATGCTGCAGGAATACACAAAAAAGAAAGAAACTCATAATAAATACAAATAAAAACCTACGGGTCCTCATAAAACATTTAACCTTGTGCAAAACACTTCTGCATCTCCCTTCCTCACACGTACACTCACACATTCCTTCTTCCCCATCGTGCCCTAAATAACTCTTGACAGTTTATATTCCCTGTTCAGCCCAAAGGAAACGACATCTATCTCTGGTCCGACGGAAAAATATTATAAAGGTGTTTCCCTGGTTCTTTCTCTCTAAAAAAACAAAAAAGGCCATGTCTGTCCAAACAAAGGATACAAAAAAATTGAGAGTTGAATCAGAGCTGAATCACAGATAGCAAATTTGCTTTTATTTTAAAATTTAATTAATACGACCATGAACTGAAACGGTGTGTGTGTGTGTGTGTGTGTGTGTGTGTGTGGTTTTAAAAAGGTAATTTTGTCAGCTGATCTAAGTTTGAGAGACATTTTCATCTTTTCTAGTGAAACTGTTTTCACTGAATTTTGTCAAACAGACCTCTTTCCCACAGTGTGGAATTACCCACTTTCCCCATTTTCACCTCCTAATATTCAGTTTTTCAGCATCTTGGCTGATTTGTTTTGTGGTTTGTTTGTGGTCTGTATTTTCCACTGCTGCTGACTATGGGCTGCCAGTTTTCTCTTCCATTCCAGGCTGTTCTTACTTTCTCCCTTAGTGTACAACCCTTTTTCCATTTATGCATTATTGTATACATAATATATCTAAGTCTGCCGGTTAGAAAAAAATGTCTGAATGTTCACAAAGTTGCTTTTTTCTCTTTTTTTTTTTCAAACCAATAAAGGTGTTTCTGACCTGATTAATATTTTAAATGGAGCAATGCTGTGAGACTCTATCTAGTGTCTATGTAGTGTAATATACAAAACAGGAAAAACCAAACCTTAAGTGATGCTGATGGAACATTTAATCATCAGTCGAGAGAAGCATTATTTCAAGCAAGCTATAAAGGTAATTTAATCGGAAATGTCGACAGTGCCAGCCCACTTTAGATACACTTCTAAACACCCAAACGTCAGCTTCTTTAAAAGGTTCTTTCTTACAAGCCTCATTCACCCAGTCACACACACATTCATACAAGCACCTTGCCTAACATTGGCATACAGTCACATGGGATGGGAAAAGAACCACCAATGCTGCAATTGGTAGATGAATTGCTCTGCCTCCTGAGCCACAGTAGCTTTACCCGACCTGCATTTGCTATGAATCTGCAAGCCACTGTGCAACCCACCATCACCCCAGTTCTTCTTTTTCATGCCGTTTCTGATTTAATCGATAACATATATATTGCGATTGATGATTGCTTTTTCATGTACTGCCCAGGGCAGCAAATTCCCATAACAGAGCTGTGGCACAAAAGCAAATTAAGTGTACAGAGAAAAATAGCCTGGAGCATATCTGTATGTAAATACACAATATGTACCTTCATCCTCATGTCCCGCCCATGTTTCTCTAGCTCTTTTTTCATCTCCTGAGCTCCCAAACAGGCCAGGTTCAGCACCAAATGCTTCCATTCAATTGGCTGGAAGACATGTGGGTCGTGAGGAACGTACAAACCAATCTTCACCTGGTAGAAACAGAAAATGTGTTTAAAGGTTCTTCATTAACTCTTGGACTGCATTTATTTCCCACACCCTTTATCTTCTTCCTTCACCTTCTTTAGTGTGTGCTGGTATCTCTTGTAGGAGTTTTCAAATTCAGCCACCAGTTCTCCGAGAGTCCGATGGGTGAGTGGTTTGTCCATCAGGTCCTGGCGGCGGCTCATACCTAGCGACCCATACCGGCCATTGCAATAGACGCCCAGCACAACATGGTGAAAGCAGTGACCCGAAAACTGGGTCTTAAAGCTGATGGGGAAACGCTCGAGAGACGTCAGCCCATTGGTCAGGTAGCTGATCAACACCGCAGGATTAAGGAAAGATCTGGAAGTTTTTTTGTGGGGTAAAATAAATGTCTGCTGTGCTTTTATTGCACCTCTGGAACTGCTCAAAAATTATTTACCTTTGAGTACAAACCTGAGAGTGAAAGTGTATTTGTTTGAATTTGTCACAGCAGAGGAAGCAAAGCAGCTTGAGTTGTTTGAAATGAGATTCAGTCTGACTCTCAGAAGGCCTATAGTATGAAAATGTCACTGGGTAAATAATGTCTTCTGAACACAGTTTGTGTGCTCATGAGAGTTTGTGCAGCTCCATCGGTCTTACTGAATCTGTCAGGTTCACTGATGTTTTTACATTTATTCAACAAGGAAAACAGGGGCAGAGAGATATGATCTGTCTGGTACAGAGGACACGATAACACACACATCAGATCATATGTCTGCTGATCTTAGTGACTCACCAAGACGTCACAAATGAAGGCAGGATTCGACTGCATGTTCATACCATAAAGACATGTCAGTCCTGTTTTAGGCCACGCCCCAAAACACACCCTTCTTTATCACTTATTTAACTTAGAAACTAAGCTTCATGCTGTATTAGGTCAAACTCAAGACTGGCTATTAATACTGATGAGGAAGGTTTTTACTGAGGTGACAAATCAAGTGATTGAGGTTGATTTTCCAATTGAATTCTATATATTAGTTCTGTTTTTGCAATCACAAAAATTTATAGCTACTCGTTATTAGAAGGAAATGCATCCAAAAGATCAGATTTTCAGTAAATTATTGAATCTATATTTAGACAGATCTCATCCTGTGTACTGCACATCTTCATGCTACATGCATCCAACTGTAGCAATCTGTTCTACCATACAGCAACAGAGAAACTTGGAAGATGTCTTTGTGGGCCAGTAGCCAGCCATCTGCTCTATTCTGCCTATGGATGGAAGTCTGCCATTGGTTAGAACACATGTCTGTCACTTCACCAGCCTGGATGCCACAGCACTGCTGTGTTTTCATTAAATATTCACAAAGCAGACCACTGATGACATGCACATACCAATGTATTTCAATGTGTCTCTCTGGCTGTGTGGGGGAGTTTGTGGTTTTAAAGTAGAACACGGATCTAAACAGGGTTGGCTGGACAGTCAAGTAAAGAAACCACTGAACTTCCACAGTCAGCGTGCTGCCCAAGTGACTAAACCTTGGGATGAATGCTTGGACGGTCACACATAGGTTTTATTTGAGCGCAAACATACCACCTGCATTATTCCCCTTAACAAAATAACTTAATCAATTAATAGCACAGTCAAAATAGAGTTAAATGTGTTAAGAATGTGCTTTTGCTTGTATCATATTGATCATATATTGAAATATTATTTTAGGTAGGCACACTGTTTTCAATCCACAGACTCAGATATTGATACACCTTCTTAACTGGTCCACTTGACATCCCTCTCACTTACAAAAAGGATCAGCAAACATCAGTTTATCAAAACAACACAAACCTGGTAATTTCTTTGCTACTTTTAGCAACTTTTTACATCCTTTCAGCAACAAAAGCCTATGAAGTTCAATACTTTGCAGCAAGATCGTGCCTTCCTGGCACAGAACAGAGCTCTCTCTCTGCACTGTTGATTAGATCAGTCAGAGGGCAGCTCTTTCTATCGTCCCGTTCTAGTTGTCTTTTTTTTTTAAAATTTGCAATCATGTAAATAGATATCAAATCACAGCACAGTCACTATCTTTGATTCTTTGAAAATATTTACTGTATTTACTGTTTGTATTTACTGATTACCAATGAAGCTCAAGAAGCCCCTAAAAACTGATCCTGGGTATCCTGATATAACCGACTGTCACAAAATTAATCTAAACCACAATAGTTCTGACAAGAGATAATTTAAATCAGGGTTGATGATTGTCTTATCCTATTCTAATAACAAATATCATAAAAATATTTAAACATGTTCATTAGTAAGAAGCTTTTATGAGTGTCATATTTTATTGTGATTCCTTTTCTTCATTGGCAAAAAAGAAGAATGATCCACCAATGACAAGAATGCCTGGACGCCAAATGTTTATGTTTGGCATCAGCTTTAACTTCCTCTGACAGATTCCTGCGAGTGTTTCATTTTGGATCAATATTTATCCTACAGGATGAATACAAACATGAAAATCATACACCAACACACCCTGCTGTTTCTTGCTAATGAATGCTTCATTAGACAGGCGTACTTCCTGTGCCAGAGGACATGCGACACTGCTAGCAGTAGCTCCCTGACTGAGACTGCGACTAAAAGAGCACCTATCACTACCTCACACTACTCATCCATCTGTCAATTCTAAAGCAAAAGTGAAAACAAACCTCTGTGGATTAGTTTCTCTGCCCCACAGGCATGCTCTAATGCAACAGAAATCCATACTTGTTCTGTTTCTGAAAAGCAGAGGTAACTGAAAAAGCTTAATAATAAATATAAATTCGTTGCAGCAACAATGTTCTGATTAACTCTTTCACTGTTCCTCTTACCTTTTGCATCCTTTTCCTCTCCAATCCTCTACCCTCCCTTCCTCAAGTTTCTATGTCAGTGCAAAGATTAAAGATAATATTTTAGAAGCATAAAATTCCCTTTACATATATTTTTTTCCTTTAATCAAGGATATACTAGGATACTTCCAGCTTTGTGGTCTTTCCTTATTTTAAAATAGTAAAACCTTATATATACATGCTTCATGCTGTTTATATATATTGTATAATGGCAGATTTTGCTGGATTATTTTGATATTTATAAACAACTAAGTTTTACACTAGGATTCAAGTGGAGGCTGCTTTGTGCTCTAGCCTTACTCTGCAAAGCACCAGTCAGTGATGGCTAATACAATGGGACATGTCACACACACACACACACACACACACACACACACACACACACACACACACACACACATACATGCACGCATGCAAACACACAGAGCTGGTTGGACCCAAGATAAACCCTGCGTATCCTGGAGAGATTTCAGATCACTGATAACGTGGAAGAACAGAGAACCAGAAGCAGACTAAACCCAGACAGACAGCCCCCACCATTACAGACTACAACAGTGGCTACTCATCCCTTTTTCTTGCCTACGTTTCTATCTTGGCTTTCCACTACTTCTCACAGCGTGACTCTTTCTCACAAATGAAGTGTTTTGATTGAGTTACCAGGTAGGTTAACGTTGCAGGTAAATGTGTGTGAATGACACTGGGTCATTCTTGTTTCACAATGATCCATACAGATTTTTATGTCTTTTAAGTCACTGTATTTTATGTGTGATGATATTATTTAGGACATTATTTAATACTGATGATCCATTGCGTTAAGACATTTCAAAATCAACTGGTTAGGTTGGTTATGCATTAGCATAACAATAGCTGGAATCCAAGGAAGGTGTGTCTATTAATTGGTGTGGCCTTGGTTGACATTCAAATTACACGTAAACCACTGCAGTCAACAGGTGAGGCCTCATAGCTCAGTGGTTAGAGCACTGGTCTTGTAAACCAGGGGTCGTGAGTTCAATTCTCGCTGGGGCCTGAGAACTTTTCTTTTCCCCCCGCTTAAATTATATTTATCAGTCCTGACCTCATAACACAACCAAAGGTGAAACCACACAATTACTGTCTCTTATAGCTCTGAATGTCACTGTGGGGTTCTTTAAAGGGCATGCAGCAAAAGGAAAAACAAAACAAACAAAAAAAACTAAAACTGCCACTGTCTTATAAATTCTCCTGTCCTATGGTGACCCCCCGCCCCCCAGAGCTCCTACCGTCCCCCCCAGCTCACTCTCTCCCTAAAGCCAGTCTCAATTAAAGTCACTGTCAGCTGTCACCCTTACAGCCCTTGAGGAAAGCAAATATGAAACTAGCACATGCGAAACTGGACCAACAGTTCACAGACAGGGAGGGAAATCTCTCATCTGGTGACACTCAAAAGTCCTAGTTTCCTGACCTGCTGCTTGTATTTGAAAAGTATTTGGTTGCACTGAAACAATTTTAATATATTTTGTTTTGCAAACTAAGCCATTATTTCACAGGTGTGCAAATCCAATCAATCAAATGAATGTTGCAATGCAATGTGGTAGGCTTTATAAAGTGTGGACCGAAATTCAAAAAGAATTCAACTTCTGAAAAATCATCCATCCCTTTTTCCTCTGCTTATCTAATTCAGGGTAAGGGATGAAGCATATCCAAGCTCTGTTGGGGCAACAGGTGGGGTATACACTGGAAAGGCCATACAGAAAGGCCCCAGACTGGATTTAAACACAGGACCATCCAAACCGCCACTGTTCAACATCTGCTGATAGATCAAATAATACTTTATATCTTTCAGTTTAATGGTTAAAGCTGGTAATATATTTTTTCAATATGGAAAAATGTTACTTTTGACATGTTACTTTGGTCTGATAAACATAATCAATGAAACAAAACAGAAGCAGCACATTTGCTACAACAGTCATTTTAAACAATAACTCTAAATCAAGGATGGTTTAACAGCTGAATGAGGCTGAATTACACTGTTGGGGTCAGCGCCTTAGTGAATTTACCATTTAAAAATAAAATCGCTTTATAACATTTTCTTCAAAATGACACACATACTCAGTACAAGTGTATTTCTGTGAAGATGGCCATTTGGGTGTCAACTGGCCTTTGGAACCAAGTAGCCACTAGAGTAACTGCAGTTTTTAAGCACCACTGCATGGCTTTATTTGGAGTTTAGTGCATGGAAAAGCATTACAGTTCAGCATATCAAAAACAACAACAACAACAAAACAACTGGCAAATCACTTGTGGTAAATAGTCAAAACAAACATTTCCTTTTAAAACAATGATGAAGAACGAGTTCAGATTCTAATTTTGCCATAAGCAAACATGTTTTCAAGGAATTGAAAAAACACTTTCTCAAATCGCAATAGAGAAGGAGTTGCAAAAGTAAAGCACTGCTGCTTTCAAATTTAAGCTCTGCTGGATGATACTAAGCTGGTGAGTATGGGGGGGGGTCGGTTAAACTTTGAAGTGGGCTTGTTGCCAAGCAACACGGCAAGCGCTAGAAAGAGTGGCAATGGTGGGGAGCATTAGGATATTACAGCAGCATGTCTTATTGATTTCACCCACAGATAACAAAATGACCTTTTGGCCCTCTGCTTAGTGTGTGCGTGTGTGTGTGTGTGTGTGTGTGTATATACAGGAAAGGATACATTCCCAAGATGACGGCCTCGAGGCATTTGATTGGTAAAGACTCCCTGATCATCTCTCTTGCTGTCTCCATTAATCTGAATGGGGAGGAAGATGATGAGACGAGGAAGAGGAAGGAAAGGGAAGGGTTGGAAGCAATACAACTTGCACAGAGACAGCATTGAATTAGACACATGAATTAGGCACTGTGGTAATGTTACATCCCAAAGTCATAATCAAGTAACTCAAGCAACTTAGCTGTTGCTTCCTATTCAAGCCAGCTTTTCATCCAATCAGTAAAGATGATGACAAAAGGGTGATAACAGGACAGTTCTGTTTATATTACTGTGATTGAGTCACAGTGTACAGTTACATGTACTTGCCAAAGCTGCAGTTCACTTACCCACACAGTGGACGGCTCTTCTTGATTTCAAAGAACTGAGTTCCTGTGTGGTTATATCTGATGGAAATGTCAGGGACAACAGCGACTTTACAACACTTCAGTCCTGTGCCTCAACTCCTATTGACATAAGTGATTATGGTGTTTTGATCACTTAAAGTCTATAAGAGCATCCAATGACGTGAGGCACAAGCAGGACTAGCTTCACCTGACAGATAAAAGCTTATACTGTCCTCCCTGTCGTGCTTGTGATAAAGGATACTGCAGAGCCTTCATGAAGTTTTGGACGGCCAACAGCCAGTCTGGGACAGACATGGATGGCTTGAAAGTTGGAATTGAGGGAATTGGATGCTGGAAAGAGAAAAAGAGAGAGCATTAGAGATATTTTTTCCACATCATTTTCAGTAAGTCGACATATGGTAACACTCAGAGCCCCCAAACCACCTTCCGCCATCTTTAAAAAAACCCTGCATTCCTAATGTGCTGTGACTCATTGCATCTCATATAGCTGACACACACACCGCTGTTCCTTAAACCAGTCTTCTTTATTTTTAAACAACAAACACCTCATTAGAAACTCACCTCTCCTTATACTCGAGTGCAGTGCATGTCTGACACACAACATGAGCAAGTCTCTAACTCAAGATATTAGGGTCATGTTCTCTGCACCACCTCTACGCCCACAGATACCCACATGGTGAACAGCAACATGTGGTGAAAATGAACTCCCACTGCTGCTTTGGCAGCTGTTTCACCTCAACAAGAACCACTACAAAGAGGAAACAGCGGCTGCAAGTGTGGATACATGAACGGACG